ATGGTCAACTAATCTTTGACAAAGGAGCAAAGACTATGCATTGGAGCAAAGAAAGTTTGTTCAATAAATGGTGCTGGGAAAACTGGGTCGCTACATGCAAAAGAATGAAGCTTGACCACTACCTCACACCATACACAAAAATCAACTCAAAATGGATTAAAGAACTAGACATAAGACCTGAAACCATAAAATATATAGAAGGAAATATAGGTGAAACACTACGTGATTTGCACATCAAAGACATCTTTACAGACACATCACCCAAAGCAGTGATAGTGAAGGCAAAGTTAAACAGCTGGGACTACATCAAATTAAAGAACTTCTGCACAGCAAAAGAGACAATAACAAAAACAAAGAGAAACCCCACTGACTGGGAGAACATTTTTGCACCCAACACTAATGATAAAGGACTGATAAAAATCTGCAAAGAGCTGATGAGACTCAACAACAACAAAGAAAATAATCCAGTCAAAAAATGGGGAGAAGAGCTAAAAAGAAACTTCTCTGAAGAGGAAATGCAAATGGCCAACAGGCATATGAAAAAATGTTCAACATCACTTGCCATCAGGGAAATGCAAATCAAAACTACCATGAGATACCATCTTACACCAGTGAGAATGGCACATATTAAAAAAACTAGCAACAACAAATGCTGGCGAGGGTGTGGAGAAAAAGGAACCCTTCTGCACTGTTGGTGGGAGTGCAAACTGGTCCAACCACTGTGGAGAGCTGTGTGGAGATTTCTGGACCTACTAAACATAGAGCTTCCATATGATCCAGCAATTCCACTCCTAGGTATTTACCCAAAGGACACAGAAACATCAATTCCAAAGAACACCTGCACCCCTATGTTTATAGCAGCACTGTTTACAATAGCTAAGCTTTGGAAACAGCCCAAATGCCCAAAAATAGATGACTGGATCAAGAAGATGTGGTACATATAAACCATGGAATATTACTCAGCATTCAAAAAAGATAAACACATTCAATTTGCAGCAACATGGATGGCGCTGGAAGGGATCATGCTCAGCGAAATAAGCCAAAAAGAAAAAGAAAAATACCGGATGGTCTCACTCATAGAAGGAATCTAGAAAACTTAAATAAGGGACCAGGAAAATGAATAACTATAAGAAAGTGAAAATCAAAATCAACAAAAAACTATGAACCAGAGACACTTTTAGGGGGGCGGGGGCGGGAGGGGAGGGATTGGGGTCAGAATGGGGGGGCTGCAATTGTATGGGGAATATAAAAATAAAATTTATTATTTAAAAAAAAATAAATTTAGCATATATGTCTTAATTGCTCAGATCACAGAGCAATTAAAATGGAAATGGAAGCACTAAGAATTTAATATAATTAAATATATATATTAGAAATTGTAATATTCAATTTGAGCAACACGAGGATTTCAGTAGACTTCATCATTATATAAGTAACTAAGATGAAAAGAATTGAACTTCCAATTTAAGAGTGGTAGAGAAAGTGGGAGAGAGAATGCCCCCATTTTACTGTAAAAATGGGGATCATTTGAAAGTAGAAAAAGGAGTAAAAATATACTATGAAAATACTAAGCATAAAAAATTCTGATGCAGTTAAAAAATAGATGACTTAGACCTCAATACAATTAAGAGTGACAATGGTTATTTCACAGAAATCAAAGTAATCATAATAAGTGATAGAGAACTACTAACTTTGCTTACTAAAATTGCTTTAGAACAGATGAAACAATTATTGACAGAAATAAATTGAAAAGTAGGCAAATTTATAATTCTATGGGACAAGTTAGCTAGATGATTTTCACAAGTTATCATGGTTGTATGCAGGCTAAAGTGAAAATGTGCAAAACCTGTGGGTCCTGACTTCAGTGTTCCAGCCCCTCATATTCTCCAGGACCACAGACTCATAGGACAGATTATGGAGTGTCTTGAGAAAGTTTCTTCTGTTGCCTTGGAGAGGACAAAAACAGACACTGCTGAAATTGTCTGGACACTTCTCTCTCTCTCTCCTTACATAAAAACAGCTTTAATCTTTGGAGTGAATGGCTAAAGAAATACTTTTTAAAAACCCTGTAATAGAAACTGCAGCAGCCACAACCAACACCCCCCTCATGTCATGAACCCATCACCTTCTGCCTTGTATGGAAAGAGGTTTAAAAAAAAAGAGCGACTCAAAATGTAATCTAGATGTAAATATATGTAAATGTAAATATATTTTAGAGTAAATACAAAGGTGCAAGTCTTGTAGAAGAAAACATATGAGAAATTAATGTGACATTGAGTTTGGCAATGAGATTTTAGATGTAACACCAAAATCACATTATATATAAGAAAAAAATCTTAAATTACATTTGATCAAAATTTAAAGTGTTTGTACTACAAAAGCATTGTTTCAAGAATGAAAAAGAAAGCCACTGTCTCAGAAAATGTATTTGCAAATTGCATATATGATAAAAGGATGATACACAGATTATATAAATGATTCCCAAAATTCAATAAGAAAGTCTATGTAATTTTCAATAAAGGAGGCCATCCCGGGCTAAATAAATTCTGACACCCATGCTATAAAATTAAAAAGCAATAACTTATAAATAATAATTGTGACAGCACATATATAAAGAGGATTGGAATGATAAGCATAAAATATGACTAGGTAGAGTGAGAACATAATATTTTAAGTTATTGGTAGTTATGTAGTTATTGTTTTGATTGCGGGGTCATGTCAATCAAATATAGTAACAATGTATGTAAACCATTATTGCTTTGTATAATAATGTTATGATCTGAATATTTGTGTTTCCCCCAGATTTTCAGTGTTGGAATCTGTGTTTACCAAATCTGTGTTGTGTTTACAGAAATATAAGGTGATAGTGTCAGGAGGTGAGGTGGTTAGATGTTGAGTGTGTTGACCCCATGAATGGAAATACTACTTATATAAGAGACTCACAGAGCTCCCTACTTTCTTTTACCAAAGGAGGAGACGATAGCAAGTCGGTACTGAGAGAAAGTGGATCCATTTCAAACACTGAATCTAATCGCACTACAATCTTTGGTTTCTTAGCTTCCAGAAATGTGAGAAATAAATTTCCACTATTTTTAAGTCATGTACTGTGTGGCATTTTGCTGTAGCAGCATGAACTGGCTAAGCCAACACGAAATAGAAAATATGTTCAAAAATATATAAATTAGGGCCTCCCTGATGGCGCAAGGGATTAAGATGCAACCTATGAAGCTATCCATAGCCACTGCAGTACCAATTTGATCCTTGGCCAGGAAGCTACCCACAGTCTTCTGATTCACCCGCTGCTCCCCTCAGCAGTGTATTTTAGTTGATCTGCCTGTTCTGTTCCCCACTCTGTCTCTGGTGAATCCTTTCACCCCCCACACCTCTGGCCTATACCCCAGATCTTGTGTGCATAAATAAATCTTTAACAAAATTAAGAAAAATATATACCTTAAATAAAGATGGATACATAGTGGTTTAGTTAAAAACCAGGATACCATTTTGCTCTTAAAAAGAAATGTTCATCTTTGCCTTCACTATCACTGCTTTGGGTGATGTGTCTGTAAAGATGTCTTTGATGTGCAGATCACGTAGTGTTTCACCTATATTTCCTTCTTAAAGAGCTTCTGCACAGCAAAAGAGACAATAACAAAAACAAAGAGAAACCCCACCAACTGGGAGAACATTTTTGCACCCAACACTAATGATAAAGGACTGATCACAAAAATCTGCAAAGAGCTGATGAGACTCAGCAACAACAAAGAAAATAATCCAGTCAAAAAATGGGCAGAAGAGCTAAAAAGAAACTTCTCTGAAGAGGAAATGCAAATGGCCAACAGGCATATGAAAAAATGTTCAACATCACTTGCCATCAGGGAAATGCAAATCAAAACTACCATGAGATACCATCTTACACCAGTGAGAATGGCACATATTAAAAAAACTAGCAACAACAAATGCTGGCGAGGGTGTGGAGAAAAAGGAACTCTTCTGCACTGTTGGTGGGAGTGCAAACTGGTCCAACCACTGTGGAGAGCTGTGTGGAGATTTCTGGACCTACTAAACATAGAGCTTCCATATGATCCAGCAATTCCACTCCTAGGTATTTACCCAAAGGACACAGAAACATCAATTCCAAAGAACACCTGCACCCCTATGTTTATAGCAGCACTGTTTACAATAGCTAAGCTTTGGAAACAACCCAAATGCCCAAAAATAGATGACTGGATCAAGAAGATGTGGTACATATATACCATGGAATATTACTCAGCATTCAAAAAAGATAAACACATGCAATTTGCAGCAACATGGATGGCGCTGGAAGGGATCATGCTCAGCGAAATAAGCCAAAAAGAAAAAGAAAAATACCGGATGGTCTCACTCATAGCAGGAATCTAGAAAACTTAAATAAGGGACCAGGAAAATGAATAACTATAAGAAAGTGAAAATCAAAATCAACAAAAAACTATGAACCAGAGACACTTTTTTGGGGGGCGGGGGCGGGAGGGGAGGGATTGGGGTCAGAATGGGGGCTGCAAATGTATGGGGAATATAACAATAAAATTTATTATTAAAAAAATAATAAAAAAAAAGAAAATACAGGATTTAATTTCAACATGAGTAAATGAATTAGAGGGAGATCAAGAAATGACTTTTGGTTTGCCAATAAAATTTTTGTGACTTCTTAGGTATTTCAATACAAAATCAGGGGTAAATTTTATCCTGAGGACAAAAAAACAGGTGACTATCACTGGTTTATTTTTGTCTCCTTAAATTTAGCTTTGTTCTTGCTTTTTCTTTCTCTTTTCAAGGTCTTGTGCAGAAATGAACTAACACAATTAAGTCAAATATTGTTTTCCCCATCTCTCCACAGGATGTTTAACTTGCTTAACTGGAAAAACTAAAACTAGATTAAGATGTTTCCAAAATATTTAATGTGGCCTCCCAGTGAGCTGCATGCCTTTGGATACTCTCATAGCTATTAACAAAGAAGTTTTCTTCTCAAAAAATCTGACTCCCTGATGGACATTGTTTAGTTACCATTTTTTTAAAAAAGATGTTTGTTCATTGCTAATGGGAAATTTTGTGTTTTCAGTGTCTGTAGCAGCAAAAAGTCCCAGGAGCTAAGGCACAGCTACAGCTGGAGCTAAGATCCATTCATTCATCATTGTCACTTCATGAATTAGAAGCCAGCAGACCATTTCTCTCACTTTACTTCAGCTACTTTTCAGAATGAGGTAAGGTTCATAATGCTCAAATATGATAGTTCTTTCTTGTGGCCCATTATTTAGAGAGCAATCAATTTTGCTGGTGTGTCACTCTGTATACACATTTGTGCTTTTCAAATGGAAGCTCAGGTCTGATTGGGTTTAATTTATAAATATGTGCATTCCCATTAATAGGACATACAGTAATGACATTTGCTTAACACTTTAATATCATCACAAGGCTGTGGCATTTTATTGGCTGCATTTTAACTTCTCTACTTTCTCTCATTCAAATAATCACATTCTTAATATGTCCCTTTATAAGGACAGTAATGGAAAAAAAAAGTCATCCTTTCCACATTCCAAATCTCTTATTAAGACATTTTAATGGCAATGAATGAAATAAGTATGTCTTCTAAGCTGACAATAGGATAATTGGACATAGCATCATAGAAAGGAAATTTTTCCTTAAAACGGTTTGTATTCATCAATTTAGTCTGTTTCAAGAGTTAAAAACATTAACCTTTGGAATGACCATTACCCTTTAATTTGCATTATTATACTATCCAATATATCATTAGCCTTTGTGGATTATGTTATTAAAAGTGGCAATCATAATATTCAGTAAATTATAATACTGTAACAAGTTGGGATCATCGTTTTAGCCTCCTAAAAGCTACTAATTAGCCATGTACTTATGTCAAAAAGATAGAAATGAAGTTGTTGCAAACAAATATTTTTTATCTATTTAACTATCACAGAGAGTCATAACCATATAAATTGTACTCACCAGATATAATAACTTAAACTTTACATGAATTCTAAAGTACACTGTGTAAGACAAAAACCATAGCAGAAATAGAACTTCCATAAATGTACTGTAATGGCATGAAAACTTTGAAAATTTTTAATATAAAAATCTATGATAAGGATTGAGACAATATAAGTAGAATTCCTAGATTATTCACTGTGTAAATATCACCTTTTCTGAACTACACAAGTGGAATCAGAATGGTAAAGCTGAAAGGTGATTTTTTGGCATACAAATACATAAATATAGATGTAGAGATACATAGAAAAATAATCATTTGAACATGCTAGTTTTCTAGTATTTTGCTGAGAATTTTGCATTTATGTTCATCAAGGATATTGACCTATTATTTTCTTTTATTCCGATGTTTTCTTTTATTGTAGCATGTATAGACATATATACATGTATGTATTTTTATGAATTTTCTCATTCCTCTGCATCTTAGCAATCTATCATTGTGAGAATTCCAAACACGTCATACAACTTCTTTATGTAGGCAATTATTGTTCAGATTTTACAAAAAAGCTATGTTTTTACTATGTGTGGTCTTTTATAAAATCAATGCATATTCAGTATAGAATATTTGAAAACAGTCATTCCTATCCTTAGCTAAAGCCCTATCCATAATAACAAAGCAGAGCACCATTTTTATGAATATGTCACATCATAAACCAGCAGATCATTCTGAAATCTACTATTTATGCAGTAAATATTATAACATAGAATATTTCTAAAGCTAATTATAGTTTTGAATACAACTTTAAAAGATGCAAAATATTTAGAGCCACCTCATTTTTGCTTGTCTGCTTTGGCCCTGGCTTAAACCTGTTGCATAGGCTTTCCTCACATTTATCCTTGTTATAAGTGTCCCATATTGAGTAAAAATTTATACTTACACTTGATAATAGTATTTTGAATTAATGTCTATAATATTTAAAATACTATTTTTCCATTTATATTTCTCCAAGTTTGATATCATTAAAAAATATTGTGATAAATTTTAACAACAAATCTTATTTTTTTAATTAAAATATAATTCTTTGGTAAAATTTACAAGGAAGAATAACTGAGTGAAAATAGTCCACTGTTCTCAAACTTTTCCTGCATAATGCTGAATACTTTTGGAACTTATTTTCTCATAATGGATTTGAGATGCTTTCCAACATGTTTTCCATTACATGTCTTCTGTGCTCTCTCTTCATAATCCTGTCACCAAACAAAAACTCAGCACTAATATATAACTATAGCAACATCTTAAGAGTATGAAAGCTGCCTTTTTTTTGTACACAGCAAGAGCAATGTGGTTCTCATTTAATCATAGATCTGCATTGCAAACAGAAATATTTAAAAAATTGTAGTATTTGTATATATAAAATGGACTTATGCATACATAATATCTGTGTATATATGTTTAGATATGCAAAATAAAATTTATATAAAATACAAATTATATATACATTATATAAATTTTAAGGTCTCCAAAGCTATATAAGTAAATTTTTTATTGTATTAAGAGCCTTTCACATAAGATATACCCTCTTAGTAGTTTTTTTAGTGTATGATACAGTATGGTTACCTACAGGAACAATAATGGATATTAGATATTTAGAAATATTGCATAACTGAAATTCTGTGTCTATTGCAACTCCTGATTCCCCCCACCCAATCAATAACAGCAAACATTCTATTTTTTGGTATGTGAGTTTGACTACTTTAGATACCTTATAAAATTAGTAAACATATATTGGTACTGTGTACTAATTTTATATATTGGCATAAGTATTTTGATGCACAGCATTTGTCCTTCTGTGACTTTTTTTTTCTTAGCACATTTACAGGATTCATACATGTTCATGCATTTTGCAAGATTCTTTCCATTTTCAAGGCTGTAATATTCCATTGTATGCATATACCACACAGATTCTCTCTCTCTTTCCAAGTCATACAATTCAAAGTTTTTCCAAATATTTAACAGTTAGGACACTGGTGAACAAACTTCAAGTCACAGAACCACTGAGGAAGACTGGCAGACTGGCAATTGTTCTTTAGGTCACCTACAAATAGGTAAAATGAACTGCAATTTTTTGAGGGTGTTAACAGTATCAAGATAATGTCTGGAAAGTATATTACCTTTTAGTTCATTTGGGAATATAATTTTATTATTTTAATATATCACTCAATTATAAACCAGCAATAATTGCATATTACTAACAGTAAATTGATTGTGGAGGATAAAGCACAATTCCTTAGACTAAGTTCTGTATATGTGAATAAGAGTTTCAGTTAATTCATTATACAAAATATTACTTGCTTTAAAGAAATCTGCTGGCACAAAAGCTAGTATCTCTGGATAAGAAAGGAAATATGCCACCAAATTTTCAATGAGTGTAACTATGATTCTTTTACACATTAGAACAATGTTTATCACATTAGAACAATGTTTATCACAAACAGAAAAAATATAAAAACTAAATTTAACAGGGCAAAAATATCAATGACAATATAAAATATCTTAATATTTGCATTATAAGTCTCATTTCTAAGGTTTAGTTATTAATATTTGGGGGCTAAGTTAACTTCAAGATCAATTTAGCTAATTTACTTTTTTAAAATAATCAAGATTTTCAAAAAACCATAAGAGTTAACAGGCACTTATTTTCTTGATTCTCTGAAATAACCAGTTAGAGTCAAATCAAATCTTCCTCCAAAGTCAAATTCAGTAACTTCTCTCTAGTACAGTTAGCAAAAATGAAAAGAGAAATTATTACAAAATCTTCAGCAGAAGAAAAAAAAGCAGTTGTCACTCAGTACCTGCTATTTCAATCATGTAATGAAAGATTTTATTCACCATATACCTTTATATAATTGATGTGGTTGGTATTATTATTCCTTTTGAAAAAAATACAATGTGTTAAAAAAAGAAAAAAAATTATCTCCTAACATATACTGTTTATAAAAGTCCACAATTGTATAAATTCAAACCTAATAATATTTTTCACCCCTTTGTATACATAGAAGATTCCTTGTTACAGCATTACTTGAAATAGATTAAATTTTGTATTCTCAACTAGTAAACTTTTCTCTATACTTTAGGAAAATATTTAGTCAAAAAATAACACTTATCACTGTTATTTGTGTAATGTAATAATTACTTGTCATTAGATAATTAGTTGCTTTAAATAATTCTATTGAGTAAATTAAATACATAGAAAAATAATACTCTGGATATAATACTGGCTTTATTACTTATGACCTCCTCCATTCTATTATAAAACATATATATATATATAATCATTTACAGTTAATCATGTCAATAGAATCTAGTAACAACTCTATTCTAGATTCTAAGATTCTAACAAAAATTAGAATCTTAAAAATTATATTCCAAATTAGCCCTCATATAGCTTGATTAAAAGATCATAACCAAGAAGTTCAAAATATCCTTCTACTAATCTCTTTCATGTAATTCACTAACAAAGAAAAATACTATTGAAAAGAAAATGCAGGTGATTTTTCACACATTCTCTTTCCATTTTTTTCTTGGCCTGAAAACTATGGCACTTGTTTCTTTGTAATGAATTCACATGCTTCTCTTGAATTTCTTTTCCTCTGCAACAGTCCAATGAGTCTTTATCTATTGCTCCAGACAGCCATCTTCCCAAATCACCCAGAGATGTGAATGATAACCCTATCACCTACTAGACAGAAACATCAAAATTCTGGCCACCATTCACCAAGATAGCTTTTTCTTATCTAAAGCTATCCATCTATAATGTGTAAGGACAGAACCTGTTTTCAGTAATGCAGCTGGTTATAGCAACTAAGAATAGCACAAAATTTCTTCCAGATGATGTAGAGTAACTCACCTTTATCAAAATGAACTGAAACTGGATGCTTGACTCCTGAAGGACAATTGGAAAAGGGTTTATTGAGTATAAATTGCACAGAGAGACAGAGTCAAATAATGAATGGAAAATATTTTGTACCCAAACTTGAAATAGATGATTTAGCATATGTAAACAGTTTAGCCAGTTCATAATTGTCTTGTCAATAATGTAAGTAATCTTTCAGTTTTCATTACATGATCAAAAGCAGTAGCAATAACTGAATAAAATAGGGAATAAATTGAATACATTTGAGTGAAGCTGCAATTTCAATGTCATGAAATAATTAAATACTTCCTTCTGCTGTTTCTATCAGATAACATACTTCTCAAAAT